GAAATTGGATACTTTACATTCTCCGAAAACAGCGACGTGATTCCAACGACCGAAACGCTCAAAAATTCCATTTTATTTTTGACGATGTGGCATGTGACAAGCAAGATACGATAAGAGAATACTTTGCCATGGATCATCATTCGAACGTTGACTGTTTCTATCTCTGTCAGACGTACGCAAAAATACCCAAGCATCTTATACGGGACAATGCAAATTTTCTGATTCTCTTTAAACAGGATGGTACCAACTTGAAACATGTGTACAACGATCATGTGAACACCGACGTGTCATATGAGGATTTCAGTGCATTGTGTCGCAAATGTTGGCAGCATAAATATGGTTTCACAGTGATTGATAAGGACAGCTCAATGACCAACGGACGATACAGGAAAGGATTTAATGACTTTGCTGTGCTGTGAGATGCTCAATCGTCGTTGCAACCTCAACGTGGTAACATCTTCAACGTCCACAAGACAAACATATCAATGATGAATAGTAACGTGAAGATCATGGATCATGAAAAGGTAGCGGAAGAGATTGCGAAAACGAGCGAATCGATCCGCAAGAAGTATCGCGCTTTGAAAACCGGTAGAATTATTGAAAATGCTGCATTAGAGAGACTTTAAATCTATTATTGAACCTCTCGAGCAAATCGCGGGAAGCAGCGCTAATGTGGAAAGTAACGTTGATGTGGAAAGTAACGTTGATGTTAAAACTGAGCCGCTATCAATGAGTACAAGCGAAGAAACAAAGAGTGTAATATTAAAACCCGAAAAAAGATAAAGCATAAGGTAAAACTTTCACCAGCCGCATTGACTCCGCTGAAACGGAAACTATTCAAAGATCCTTCGATAGTTTCTACATCGACGGGAGCTCTACAATATGAGGAACCACATGAATCTTCACTGATCGATAATCTACTCACTGATGATGATAATGAGAATGTTTCCGAAACCCCCGATAAACCGGCAGTGACATCCGTTAGACGTCAGTTACGAACGTACAAAGGACAACAAACTTTACATGATTATTTTGGTCCGTTGGGTCAAAAATATATGGGAGCTGTGCTAAGTAGTGGAAAAGATAACACCATAGATTATATTTATGGCGTACGTCTTAGTAACGATGGAGCGATGCTCGGTGATAAACGTGTCGATGTGGACAGAGACGATAATATAATCATAGGCGAAACAGAATACATTGGAACACCCGGTCTTTACGAGCTAATATTCAAAAGAATCCCCGACGATTCTGTGTACACCGAGGCTGATATGCAAAAATACAAAAGTATACTATTGGCGACGAATGCTCACAGACGCGGGTACCTCCCACAAAATCCGATACTCGGTAACAAGGGGCACAAATATAAACATATAATCGCGCCCCTAGTATCACCTGCGTCGAGCGATAAAGTGGCCGGAAAAGGTTTATACGCATCGCAAGCTATGACGACTTTAAATGACAACAATATCGATTACGTGCATTGGGATGATCCCAACGAGCTGATGGATCGCCTGCGATTGCTTGACGCTTCGCGCCAAGCCGGCAACAACGCTCATGACAACGAAATTTTATCGATTATCGAAGAACTCCGCGAAGCTGGTCTTATTATAAATTAAACAGCGCTGCACTGACACGAGTCTGTCAATCAGTCAGTCAGTTGGCCGATACAGCATCGGCACAGCTTGCTCCGAAATGTCGACACATAAGTTTGGAGTGTTGCCAGACAGCAATAGTTCTCCTATCGAAGCGCATCAATGGAATGAACACGTTGAAAATTACATACATGAAAATGCCTTTTGTTTAAACGCTGCCAAAGTTTTTGACGCAAAGTCGCGCAAGATACAACATGTAGCGCAACCTGAAGCCGACAGTGACGTTGCAACCAAACAATATGTGGAAAAATGTGTTGCAGGTGTGAGATATCATTTAAACAACGTTGCAACCAAACGATATGTACATGAAAATGCCCTTTGTCTAACCGCCAATAGTAAAGGTCGTGATGGCAAATGTTTCGATACAAAAATGCACGCGATACATAATGTACCGCAGCCGGAAGCCTTCAATGACGCTGCGCACAAATATTATGTGGATGAGAGTATAAAGTCTGTAAAACTTCTGTTGCATGAAAGTAACGTTGAGAAGAAGCAGTATATCGATGAGAATATAAATGCTATAGAGCTTCTACTGCATGAGAGTAACGTTGAGAAGAAGCAGTATGAAGATGAGAATGTTAAAAAATTGAAGGATTGGCTGGAAGACTACCGGAAGAAAAACATACAGAGCATGAATAGTATTCATGAGAACCTAGACCAAATTTGAGACTGAACACGCTCAGAGATAAAGCAATCAAGGGAAATATAAAAGTAGAATATTACAGTTAAATTGACATATAGTATCGACATAAACGAGAGACGGAGATCATCACAAGCTGCAATGGCGAAGCAATCATCAAAATTTAACAAAAAAAAGAAAAGTTCAGAGAAGCAGCTCACCGGTAACGAAAAGCATCGGTTGGTGGAGAAGTTGCACGCTCCAGCGAGAAGATATTTTCCCCGTAGACACGTCATAGTGCGCGGATACGATGATCTTTGGCAAGCTGACTTGGTAGAGATGCGTCCTTACTCGCGATTCAATAGAGGCTACCACTATATATTGACTGTTATCGATGTGTTGAGCAAATATGCGTGGGCTGTACCGATGAAGAGCAAGAGCGGTAAAGAAGCAGTGGCAGTATTTGCCAGGATATTTCAGGAATCTGGAAGATGTCCGAAAAATTTGCAAACGGACCAGGGAAAGGAATTTTATAATGCGGATCTGCAGAAACTCCTTAAAAAACACGGTATCAATCATTATTTTACGTACTCGGTAATGAAGGCATCTGTTGTGGAACGATTCAACCGCATGTTAAAGAACGCCATGTTGAAAATGTTTACGTTGAATGGAACATACAAATGGATCGACTCGTTACCGCGCCTTATTGCGGAATACAACACACGGAAACATCGAACTATTGGCATGCGTCCTATCGACGTGACACCCGAGATCGCCGATAAACTCCTACACACAGTCTACAACAACGTAAAGATCACTGCGCCTGCAAGATCCAAAGTGGGTGATCTGGTACGCGTGAGCAAATTCAAAACCATCTTTGAAAAAGGCTATACACCGAATTGGACAACCGAAGTATTTAAAATCGTCAAAGTGCAGACAACTAATCCAGCGACTTATCTGCTTGAGGATTCTCGCGGAAAGTCTATTGCCGGAGGATTTTACGAATACGAACTGCATCACGCTGCTAATCCTGACGTTTATCTCGTGGAAAAGGTGTTGCGAAAAAGCGGCGGCAAGGTTTTAGTAAAATGGTTGGGATTTGACGACTCGCACAACTCTTGGATACACAAAGAAAATGTATTGTAACCAATTCTTTGTTATAAACACTTTTTATTACAATATCCTATTATAAACAGCTTGTAATAAACCATTTTTTTATTATAGTTAACAATATTTCATACAAATATATGTACAATGATCGCTTTTCATTTTACAATATACATGTATGCACAATGATCGCTTTTTAGTTTACAATTGTATCCTATAATGTCCCCATGTAAAGTGTCTGTTGAGTCTGGTACGATATACCGCTTGTCATCATACGGACTCAGAGCAGTTTTCAGTTCGGACACGGTGTAGACTTTGTGCATTTTGGATCGTATGCATGACTGACGACGTTGCTTTTCGACCTCGTCTCTCAGACACTGCATATAATCATCAAACGTTATAGTTCGCGCTACGACGTTAGTCTTGACACCTTTCGCCTTCTTCGTGTCCTTTTTGCTTTCTATCTTTAGCGCGTACATCTTTGCTCTGAGTCCGACGAATTTCGTCATAATCGCTCCGTTATTTTCATCCTTCATCAGACCCGGTACCTTCTTGTTGGCAAGCGGTATACCGTACGCGTTATCAGCGGAATAATCACTCGTATCAAACTTAGAAATATCGCGTTTCATGTGCTTGAAAATATCATCGCATTGGATATGGTAGATTAAACTGTCAGTATCGGTGTACATTACTTTACATCTGTTCTGATACAGGGGAGACATGTACTCGTGATGAAATTCGTACAAGCAGGTCTTGGATATGTCAAGGATACACATAACCACATAGATCGGCTTGTTGAATTTCACCTCGAGTTTACGTAGCTCAACGGCGAAAAAATTTCCCGAAGAGGAAACTAAATTTTCCGAAAAGACACTTCTGCTATGAAAATTTGGTCTCGCGATCATTGCCTCAGCGCCGTATCGTCCGTCTCATTTTGTTAACAGTTTTACGTCTACGTGATTGCGAACGTTTTCCATGGTTTTGCCGAATACAGCGTTGTTCATCAATTTGTACAAATTTTTCTCAAAATCGTTTGTCGCGCGTGTTCTAAACTGTGTGTTAAGTTCGATATAATCGCGGAGCCATGAGGATTGAGCAAATTTGAATATACGGTGTATCTTTCCAATACGAAGACCGTGACGCGTGCACTACTGCAGGTTGCGATAATGAATCACATAACGCTGCTTATCGCATAAGGTTGCGAGAAGCTTATCTTGCCTTTTGTTCGGAGGTTTGCCCCGCGTCGGACAGAACGGTAGGTCAGTGTGCGCATCGTGCAGATGTTGCGGATACTCCAAGTCGACCTCCAGAATATATCCTATGGGTGAATCTAGCGCGATTGATGATACGTCGAAATTTGATACATCATCAACCCATCGAAATTCGGCGTATGGCAGCAGTTGACACATTGCCCAACCGTACAAGTTGTTTACATCGAAGTACATCAAGTATGATGATGGTTGCAATGGATCGTAAGACTGCATATACTTGTTATTGGCCTTTGCATATCTACCGGAACATTGACTGAGACCACCGCGAATACCGCGCTCGATGAACATAACCATGTCGATATCAGTAAGCAATTCGAAATTAACGCCCGTATGCTTCAACATAGCATCTCACGTAAAATCAGGCAAAGTGTAATAATACGCGGGATCTAACCCATAACTTTTGATACAACTATTGCGGAAATTTTCAAAAACATCGGCTAGTAACAAGACATCGGTCTTCAGATATAAGTCGCTATATTCACCCAAGGTTTGAATGGAGAACCGCCGCCAGATGTTCACGGCGTGCGCGTAATCGCTCTCGGATACCGTGTCACCCGTCAACGAACTGTAAAATGATTCGCGCGGCGGTAAACACTGATCCTGCAGCTTGTCCGCGCAATCAAGGTATTCGTACGGAAAGATACCCTTTCGCGTCAATGAATCAAAATCCTTGTCGGACAAATTTGAAAATTCGTCCGAACAATTTTTAATTTGTTGTGGTTGAAAAAAGACGCCAATTTATCGAGATTAGAACTAAGAAATTTATACGAATCGATGAACCGCAATTGTATGCAATTTTTCCATTTATTCCTACTATCTGTAACGTTTCCTACAATCTTTGTAAACGAAATATATTTCTCTTTGGTTATCGGTAGTACAATGATTGAACCTTCGAACGCGGTTGCTATATCTTTGATGATGAAGTGCGAATCATAACCGGATAAGTTGTGAAAGACCACGGGAATGCAATAACTGTCTTGGTAATTTAGATTGCAATTGGAATATGCGGGACCTCTGTACCGTCCAGTCAGGTGGCAATGATCGGGCACGCGTGTATCATCCTTTGCGAATGATTTCTCGCACACATGGCACAGCGTAGCGTTCCGAAATGTCTCCCACTGTTCTTTCGACAAAGTTTCCATGGAGACATTTCCAGACAAAATATCCTTTACACGATGTGCTAGTTCTTCAAGTTCTTTGACAAACCACGAGATGCAATCCGGATCGCGACGGCATCGATACACGGATAACGACTGGTTGTAGGAACATCGCACGTAATACGCTATACTAAATAGGCTATGATGTTGATACGCATACGAGCTCGTTTGTTTTTCCCTCGGTGCCTTCTCCAGGATACATTCCAAGTCGGCGTAAACTACAAACGGGACCCGCTCCTTCCTGCAGTAGTTGGTGAAGCTGAGCCATTTGTTATCATCGTTTGGCAAGGTGATGGCGCAGTTATTCATTTTTTGACAATCGACGGTATGGCTCTCCAGCTTCTCGCTCGAGCTGAAGTAATGCAAACATCTGGAAAAACATTATTTGTTATTAGTATATGTCACATTGTTCATTATACATTGCGTTCTTAGTGTATACTTACCGGTCGCAAATATGTTTCTTGTGCTCCTTTTTGCTCAGCTGCGAGTTGACGAGTCGGGGCAAATTCTTAATCCACGCGAAGTGTCCAGCGTTGTCATCATCTCGCGGATCTGGGATATGCAGCAGGTTGACATGCTTCTCCATTTTCTGTTCCGTAAGACGTATGGGCACGACCACGTTTCCTTCTTTCTTTGTCGCGTTGTTATATCTCTTCTTCACACTATGAATGTTGATCGAGATATTGTTCAACCGTTCAAACTTTTTAATTTGGTTTATGCGCATTGGAAATTCAATGTCGTGCATATTCAACACCGATGTATAGTGTGAGTACGAAGATTGACGATCTGCGTCTTTGTCAGCTGGACATAACGCTGCAACCACCGCCCATGCGAAACATGCATTGTCCTTGGATTGCACACTGATCACAGCTCGCTTCATTTTTATTTCGCGCGGTAATTCGATGTGACATCCCGCACGCATCGGTTTGTACTTGTTAACATTAACGGTCAGATCGAATATGCGTGAGAGTGCCCATCCGCTATCTCGTTCCTGAAATTCTTCCAAGGACGCTAAGGTGGATCGATAACACGCATCGTGAACCAATTGTCTAGATCGGATGTGGAAAGAAGTTCAACGTTCCTCATATTGATACTCTTGTTCGCGCGTTTATCACCCGCCACAAATACACCGTTGAACACAGTATTCACTTTTACGCTACCGTGTCTCTTCATAACGCATCGCACATGCTCGAGCACGATATTATTCGCATCTTGGAGAAATCGAAGAGGGTTGATATAGTCTGTATTTACAATCGCCCCGGTTGATATGTAACTATTGAACGCTGTATCGATTTCTCGCCAAACAAGTGTCGAATGTCCGGCTCCTGCATATACGAAACGTCTGCGCAAAGTATTTTTTAAACCCTCGAGTTGCGCTATACGAGCAACCATCGAATGTGCTGAACCAACCGATAGTCGTGGTTGTTTGGCTCGGCTATGCTGTCCCAACCACTTGAGACACTCGTCGCACTTTTGTTCCCATGCGAGATATTCGTCTAGCGAGCCTAATCGAGCGGCCTGATTCTGCAGCTCGCGTTCTACGGATGATAATGATGATGATGATTCTGCCATTTTTCTAGCAAACGTTGTAAACACACTGTAACCGCACGCTCTGTTCGTCTTCGACTAAACTATAGAATATTCTGCTTTGAACTTTTTATAGCCCTTCATTCGTCTAAAAATACAGGCCGTCATCAAAATTCAGGAAACTTCCTCGACGAACTTTTAAACACATTCCTGGGTCTTAAACTCATATCGACTTGTTGTGGACTTTGCCTAAGTGCATGCCTTTCTTTATCTGATACAATAATAGGCTTATAGACCTATGATTTGGTATCAGCAGTCTGAGGGGTCGACGACTGACAAAAAAATATTTTGGTCAAAATATGATATTGTAATACACAGCACCATTATATTGCAGTGTTTACAAATTGTAATAAAAGTATAAATATTGCGCATTTCTGTATTGCGCATTATTTTCTGTCATACTGCGATGCGCTATGACTGGTATTATTTCATCGACGTATGACTGTTTAATTGACTGGTTACAACGCTGTGCCAGAGAATTAATATCTAGTTTCAGAAGATATATTGATATGTGCATTAGAAATTTTGAGAACTCTGAAGAAAATGATGGAGGAGATGCAGCATTATCGGGGAAACTTACCTATGTGTGTATGTGTGTTGAGAACTCTGAAGAAAACGATGGAGAGGATGTAGCATTGGCGGGGGAAACTCGGAGGGAAACTTGCCTGCGTTGAAGAAGCTCCTGCATCAGTCGCTCTGTAAAGACACGGTTCGACAGTTGCTCTGTCAAAAGACAAGGTTCGACAGTAGCTTCCACATACAGTAAACCAAAATGTCCGATATCGAAGTGAACGCTGCACAAGCAAATTATTACACGCCTGTTCAACATGCGGATGAGGATGAGGATCACCCTAGGTGGAAACAAAACGACGAGTGTTTCGAGGAGCCACCATGCAAAATGGAACGTAAGAAATGAGTATCAATGTGAATTTGGTTGGTACTTTGTGTGCACTTTCCCGACCGAATTTTTAAATGTATATAACATTTACATTGTATTTTTATAGCATTCCTGAGCCATGTCATGCTACTCGCATCCTGGGGCACAGATATGTTTTGACTGCAACGACTCATAAGTATTTGGAAATTGGACTCAATGTACAATATCGACCCTACCCCGTCGTGGAAATAGTCCTCGGCGACAATCGCGGTAATGAACTAATATTACATACAGACACTTGGGGAAAACTGATGGAAAATCGTGGTGCTGTACGACGACTTCTGGAAGCGCGCAACCCATCGTACTTTCCGCTACGGATTCAAAATTTAGGAGTGAAATTGTTCGAGCTAAATGGTTCAAGAATTGTAAAATTAATGCAATCTTCTAAGAGTTTATATTTGAGTCCTGCTACAATGAACAAGTTATTTATTAGGAGCGCAAAAAAGTTCTGAGCCTTTTTTTGCAAAATTCAAAATTTATTTAAAAACAAACAAAACTATATTAATCAACGAAATATTTCCCGTTTGTATCGATGACCTTTTGCCATCTTTCGGGCAGCTTGCGAATTCCCTGATGGTAGAAGCTCACCGGCTTCGAGGCGATAAAGTCATCAATGCATTTTCGTATCTCTTCAAGTGTCACAAAATGTGTATCAGCCAAGAAATGCTGCAGAGACCGGAATAGGTAGTAATCGGAAGGCGCCATGTCTGGACTATACGCCGCGTGCGGGAGAAGTTCCCAGCCTAACGCAAAGATATGGTCCTGAGTCACTTTCGCAACATGTGGTCGGGCATTGTCATGAAGCAGTATCACTTTACGACGTTCTTTGCCAGTAAATGGCCTCTTTTCTTCAAACGCATCGCTCAAATTGCTCAATTGTTGCTGATAGCGATCTGCCGTTACTGTTTCATCCGGCTGTAACAACTCGTAATACAATACACCTTTCCAATCCCACCATATACAAAGCAAAACCTTCTTGGCATGGATATTGGTCTTTGGCGTCGATGTCGAAGGTTGACCAGAGTCAACCCATGATTTTTTACGCTTCGGATTATCATAAAGTATCCACTTTCCATCACCTGTAATGATTTGGTGCAGAAAATCCTTTTTCCGGAACCTTGAAAGCAAAGTGAGTGCCGTGTCACGCCGTCGATTTTTGTTGTCTTCGAACAGTGCACGCGGAACCCATCTGCCTTCCTTTTGAACTTTTCCCATTGCATGTAAACGTGTGGAAATGGCTTGTCGCGTAACGCCAAGTTGCTCTGCAAGCTCCTTTTCAGTTTGTGCAGAGTTTATATCCAACAATGCTGCAGTTCGTCCGTTTCAATCTTTTGAGGACGTCCAGCACGCGGTTTATCTTCAAGACTGAAATCTCCTTGGCGAAATTTTTGATACCACCTTTTACACGTAGCATAACTTACAACGTTCTCTCCATATGCAACACAGATCATTTCAATGACTTCAGCTGCATTTTTCTTCAGATGAAACGCGAAGTGGATGGAAAATCGAATATGCTCTTTTGTTATTGCCATCGTGAGCACTGCTGATTTTAAGGTTATGTGCATCAAACGCCAAATCACACGATGTTTCGAAAGACCAAATGTCACTGCTTTAAAACCGCAAGAGGGCGGAAAGATTAATGCAATTTAAATTGTGGTTTCAGTAGTATGAAATCTAGGGCTCAAAACTTTTTTGCGCTCCTAATACTTATGAATATTGCATTGATCATATATATACGCAGTTGTCTGAACAGGCGTATCTGGTTAGATCAAGAATTCTAACTTTTGTAAAAGTTCTTCGAGAAAAAAAATTACCGAAATGTGCAATGCGGTAAAAGCGATACATGAAAGCGCTGCCTTTGACAGTGAGTCACTTATTGATTGCGAGCTGCTGACATGTGCTTCGAAAGATATCTTGCACGAAGCTATGAGCTGTTTGGTATTCTGAGCTGTTTGGTATTCTGAGAAATAAATTACTTTGTTATATATTATGATACATCTTTTTTACTTTAGACCACATCCTTTCTTCCAACTTCCCCTTAACCCTTCCTTAGGATTTTATATGTTAATTATGTTAATTATATTGATAAAAATACTTCTTTATTTGCTTATTATGGTTATTAGACGTTCGATAGACGTTCTTGAGACATTCGATAGACGTTCGATAGATGTTTGATAGACGTTCGTGAGACGTTCGTGAGACGTTCGTGAGACGTTCGAGAGACGTTGGAGAGATGTTCGAGAGACGTTGGAGAGATGTTCGAGAGACGTTCGATATGGCGCAGTAAACGAAAGGCCTGGGGTTTGAGTCTGACCTAGTTTCGATTTATCTTTTCTTTGACGTATGCGTGACGTCACGATGCACACTCTAAGAACCTTCACTAGACGTCTAATAGCAACAGGCGACGGTGGTCTAGGAGCTTCGGAGCATTGGGTAGTAACCGCGAGGACCCGGGTTCGAGTCTTTAGCAGTAGGGCCCGAGAGTTTTTTCTCTCGTGACGTCATCGTGCACACTCTAAGAGCCTTCACTTAGACATCTATAATAGCAACAGGCGACAGTGGTCTAGGAGCTTGGAGCATTTGGATAGTAACCGCGAGGGCCCGGGTTCGAGTCTAGCTGCAGCCCCCGACAGTTTTTCTCTCGTGACGTCACGGTCACATCTAGTCCATGGAAGCAAAAATTCTAGGGAGGGGTTATTAATAAAGGGGTTATTAATAACAAGGGGGTATTGATGAGAACTATTTAATTAAAAAAAGCGGTTTTGCAAAAAATTTTTAGAAATTGGTTAGAACCGGCCTAGCTATTCTACTCCTGCACTACTTGCGTTATAAATTATATCTAGTAGACCTTAAAATTGAAGAGCAATCTCCCTGGACGACGCGTCAATAAGCACCGGTATTGATTTTTCGGTGGCACATCTCATCACATCGTCTGCTCAGCATCAGCTGATCGGCAATCAAATGACATGCGTCATAACATACCGTGACGCATACCAACAGTATTCTCATATATATATACTACATGGGCTGAAAAGTCTTTGGCTTAACAATGAAAAAACGATTTTTTTAATGAAAAAAGTGTTTTATTCCTCGACATAATCTCCATTTAGAGTAATGCACTTAGTGTAACGGTCCGCTAACATTTCGATGCCGGTCTTATAGTGCTCGGTGTCAAGTCCCTCAAAATAGGCATTTGTTTCCAACTTGACCTCCTCATTCGAGTAAAATCTTTTACCAGCGAGCCACTGCTTCAGTCGGGGAAAAAGGAAATAGTCGCTGGGGGCCAGGTCTGGAGAATACGGGGGATGCGGGACCAATTCATTCATAGCGCAATTTCTTTAATTTATCGGTCGTATCGCGAGCCGAGTGAGCTGGAGCATTGTCTTGGTGAAACAAAATTTT